CTAGCGGTTTGATCCCTGTCAAGCGTAGAAGCAGCTCGTCGAAGCAGCTCCGCCACCGACATGCTCGCCAGCTGCCGCATGGTAGCTTTGTCCAGCCGACGACACTTGGTGTCTCGCGGCAAGGTAGTAGACGGCTCGGTAACAGTCGATGCCATGGCGCTGCCAACAGCGGGAGAATTCGCTGCTCTTGCGGTATCCGCTTGCTCATCCACCAGAGCGTGGCCAGGGAGGGAGGAGGAGGAGACAGCACCAGCCTCCTCCCTGAAGAGGCACACCACGTCAGCCAGTGGGCCCCGAGCTCGTTTGACATTCCTTGTAGAAGCCCCCAAGCTTTCGGCAGGGGCCAAGTCCTGCTGGGCCTCATCACCTGCCCGAATGGCCCTCGCAGGCATCGTGTCAGCAGAAAATTCCGAGGTCGAACCCACAGTAGACATGATCCAGGGCCCAACCAGCGGGAAGACACCAAGGGTCTCTGCCCGACAATGAGAGAGCCAGTATGGAACAACAGGGATGCAGGAGAATCTGCACAGAGCAACCACAGCCAGCGGAAGGCGGCAGAACAGCTGGGAAGGGCAGTCTGGTCACTGCTTACCTGGCGCCGAGACTGAGACACCAACCGTGAGTACCATACCTCCAAGTCGGACCTGCCCGGAGTCATGCAGGCGACCATAATCACGCGCCCTACAGCCCAAGAAAAAGTGAAGCTGGGCCAATCACAGAAGCACCCAGACCTGAGAGCACATTCCGAGGGAGCATAAATTGCAGTCGCACAGGAGCATCGCCCTGCAAACACAAACAAGCAAGGCATCATGTAGTGCGTCGAGCCTCTGTGAGCACTATCCGACGTCAGCATACGGAAAATCAAATCACCCGGAGCTGCAGCAGCAACGGGTGGGACAGAGACACGGGCCGGTTCAGGCTCAACCTCAACCTCCACCACTTCTTCGACAGCCGCAGTAGAGGGTTCACCTGAATCATGAGGCTGGTCCTTGAGGGGTCGTTGGTCAGGAGCAGAGAAGGAAGAAGAAGGGGGCGGCTTCACCGAGGACAATGTAGCAGACGTATTCACCTCCTCCTCAACAAACCAGATGCTAGGTCGACATGGTCGTGCAGGAGGACGATCTGGTCGTGGCCTGGGAGGGGGCGGATTGGCCAGCAGTCTCGCTAAAGTGTGCTTCTTCAAGGTGCGCTTCCTCTTTGGAGGAAAAGACGGTCCAAGACCAGCCGGCTCCACACAATGCTTGGCCGAAGTAGAAGTAGAGGTCTGCCCTTGATCCATCCCGACGGATATACCCGCCTCACCATGCTTAGCAACATCCAGAGTAGCAGCCCGTGCAGGGACAGGGGCAGGGGCCTCAGACACAGCATCGGCCACATCGTGATGCTTGATCTTGTGCTCCGGCTTGGAGGTACCCGCTATAGACTTCTGTCTATTCCACGACTTGGAGGCAAGCCGGCCAGGCGGCGGCATTGCAGGTTCACTAACGACAAGCCGACCAGGCGGCGGCGTAGCCGGCTCACGGACTGTCAGGACCGGTGAAGACTCCATGTGGGCTTCCAGAGGATGAGGAGTCTCTTCAGCAGCAGTGGCAACCACGGCAATGGGCTCCTCATGAGACCTGGGAGTGGCCTCCGCTTCTGTAGCTTCCCAGGACGGAGGAAACACCGGCAGCGGTCGAGGGGTACGATAGAAGACCTCTTTGGGGGCCACTGGAGCTGGAGCCATCCGAGTGACACGGCGCCTCGGGAGAGGAGACCGGCCTCTGGGATCCGGCGGGGCCCAAAGAAAAGGAGCCGGGACCGTGACTTTAGGCATCTTCTTCGGCTTGGGTAAAAGCTTCCCATCAGCAGAGATCTGTGACGGATCCACGGTGTTTGGCCTCTTCTTCGGTTTGGGCAGGAGCTTCCCATCAGCAGAGATCTGCGCAGCTGGCGTAAGGGTAGCGGGCACTTTTCCACTAGAGGTAGCACTCGCCGCAGCGTCAGCAGAAGTGTAGATCCTGTTCAGCTGACCAGGCCTCTGTTTTTGTCGAGCTAGTCGCTTGGCTTTGCCCATGCGTCGCAAGAACTCCAGGGAGTCAGGCCGACCCGAGCAGGCAACGAGCCTCCAACATTCCCACCTCGAGCCCTGTAAGTGCAGATCAGACACATATGGCGGTGACAGATAAGCTTCGGATGCAAGCGTAACAATGCAACTGGCCAAATCGCAGGCACAAGGACAGGCCATCAGCCAAGAAGACAAGGGCCCGGCAGGGAGTGAATAGAGGAGTGCAGTTCGCTCCATTGCAGACCTGAGTGGACAGGGCGACATGCAGGAAAGGCCCAGCACCGGCCAAAGGCGCGGCCAGCACCAGGGGAGAGAAGGCTGAAGCAGCTGAGCCCCGTCCCAACCCGGAGGTATGACGCTGCACCTGACCACAGATAAGTAGCAAAGAGGGCTGCTGGACAACCCCCTCAGCGGGGAACTGGTGCAGGCAAGGGAAGGCAATATGACGCTTTTGCGAAAACGACAGCGGTGCCAAGCACAGCGGCCACGCCAACTGCCAGCTGCGATGTGTAAAAACCAAGAACCACTGACTATCAACTCAAGGCTCGAGGAGGCCTTATGCAGAGTCCAACAGCCTGAGGGTAAGATACACAGTAACATTCCCAGTCTCCGACCGGGATGGCTCAAGCGTGCAGATTCCCCCCGAGGAAGAGGCAGACACACCCTGCATCGCGGTTGTAGAGGGCAAGGTGTCCGCATCAGAGCGCAGCCTTGGGCACAGTGACCCAGAGACCCTGCGAGGGCTGCGACTGCGAGCTGCATCGCAGACTGCGCGCTCTGATTCAGCAGCTTCTGCCAGGGACACCACCTTCTTATCATTGGTAAGCTGTCTCCAGCCTCTGAAGACCGGTAGCATAAGGTCCAGACAAGCTCCCGCGTAGTCAACCTCCATGTCCGTGGGGGAGGTTGCCTCAACCAGCCGTCCCTGCTCACGTGCGGGTTCCATCGGGCAAGGCGTGTCCGCCATGCAGCGGCAAGCCAAGTGATGTCAGGGCAGTAGCAACAATGACTCAAAGCAAAAGGCAGCAGAGAGCCCTCCTGAGGGCACAAAGGAAGACAGGCACAACAGATATCGTAGGCATATCTCTCCCAGACACACAGCCAGCCTTCAGCAGAGTCCCACCTATTTGGCGGCCTCAGTTGGAAAGCGAGGGACGGATGTCCAGGCAAGAGAGGACATGTAGCAATGCAGGCATCACACATGAGNNCAGCCAGCCTGCAGTACCATAGTGTATGCACATCCAAAGTGTACAGGAAGACAAGAGCATCCCAGGCTGATGCACGAGACAGCATCTCAGCCAGTCGACTCATCCCGGACCAATCGGAGCTTGAGAGTGACATTGACCGTGCCCCTCGGGGGCACACGTATCTCAACGTGATACTCTGAGTCATCAGGCGATTGCTGCACTTCTGCAGCCCGAGCCACCAAGGTACCTGCTGCGGTCTCCGACGCATCGCCCAGATCCAGTGGCCGAACAGACAAGGATGTCCCACGTGGCGACCTGCTGCGACGTCGCACATCTGGTGGCTGGTCGCGCGGGCCTGTGATCTGCGGAGTCGTTGGAGCACCACCAGACACAGGCTCCGGTCGGGGTGGGCCAAACTTCTCCCCCCTTGCCGCCCGCTCCTTGCGATCCTGGACATCTCGCTCGAAGTCAATCCTCTCTGCAGTGGTGAGCCCAGCCATCGCCTGTTCCGAGAGCGAGATGCTCGGCGGACTGACACTTCCCCAGGACTCAGCATGCTCACCTGCATCAGCAGCAGAGGCCCTTGGTCTTGGAGAGTCACCAGACATTGCTGCGAGGCCCGCCGAGGAAGTGCTAAAGGCCAGAGGTAGTGCGACCCTGTGTCAGAGAAAAGAGTTGCTCGAACCATATCAGGACAGAATGCGGTAAGCCTCTGCTCAACAACAGAAGAGCAGTAGTCATCAGTACCTGTGATCCAGCGAGTTCCCTGCATGGCAAAGACCCGGTACAGCCAGGCACCAGTGGAAGGTA